TATGACGATGAGATGCTGCTGTGCGCGGCACGCGCTGCTCGAAGCCGACGAGCCCATTGGAGTATATGTGAAGGGATAGATGCTGGTATCTGCTTGCTGTTCACGTTGCGCTGGTGAAGATGTTATGCAGGGAAAGAAATCTGGTGATGTCACTGATATTTAACGTTTATTTTATACGGTAGCCTCAAGGCTGAAACGGCAGGATTGAAAAGGAATAGAAGATCGATGCGTGTTTCTACTTTCGAATTTATCTAGGACCTTTGCATGGAAATTGATGTAGTGTACAATGTCAGCACGAAAGCCATGGCTCCTGGATCAGGGGAAATCAATATAAATCCCATATTTTCTTGTAGCATATAAAAGTATGCCAAGTAGTTCTCTATCGATGACCAGCAAGCCGTCTCTGTTGCACTTCTCCTAGTGCACGGCTTCCACTTATGACAGACACAACACCGATTGCTATAGCGACCGGGAGAGTCTGGAACAGATTCCAGCTTGTGTAGTACATAAAGAAGGTCAACTCGAGTCCAATAATTGACCCAACAAAAACTATATGGGGGAGAGGGGCGGATTTCAGTGCCACGGAGAGATGGTTGACGTTGGCACCTAGATACAACCACTTTGTTTGACTTGTCAGTATTCTTCTTTTCAAAAGAGGGATTTCTCCCCTAGTCGCCAAGGTAGGATGTTATAACTCACGGAGATTGCTAGAAGTGGTAGTGTAGCTAAAACGGCAAGGACAAAGACTAAGGAGATGATTATGGGCGGGCTGCGGGGGTCTGCTCTGAATGTATGGTGAATTTCCTCCAGTTTGCCATATCGGAGAGCGACTGAGGAGGGTAGAGGAGTGTCTGGATTGTGGTCGATAGATATCTTAAAGACGGGTTGATAATATCCGTTCGAAGACCCAAAAGAAGCAATCAGCAAAGAAGCTTCAACAGGAGTATTGGTCGTGAGAAATTGGACTGGAATGTCCTTGTGATTCTAAAGCAGTCACACGTTAGAAACTCATCGAGACAGAACCAGAGTGTTTTTGAATATTTCGGCGTACTAATTCGACGACAGCCTTTCCACTTCCCTTGACGGTGAGTGGGTATGAGATGTCAAGGCCGGATTCGCTTTCTCTAAGAGTCAAGAAGGCTTGGTGAGGCCTTGCTGCAACTTGATCTTCCTGTATTGTTAAGAGAAGCTTTAATGTGCTCGCATCGTTAAGTGTTATCGGCTTGGTTAATGGCTTGTCTTGGGCCAACCTAGAACAAGTGTTAGACGAGAGTTATACAACACCATATATACTACCAGTAATTTCAATGGCTGGGAAAAACATACTTCTGCTTTTGACTACCACCTATTCCAGCCCCCTTTTGATGAAGAGACAGCGAGCCATCGGTAAATCCCCATCCAGACGAAGCGCATAGTCCTGGAGCCGCTAGAGCAAGTAGCCCTAGCTGGAGAGCTGCAACAAGCCTCATTATAGCTGGCCGTATAGAAGGGTCGAAAATGAAAGTCAACGTCTATCAGCTATGTACAGGAACCGAATTAAGACCTGATGAAGGCTCTTGAGATTCGCCTTTAACAGTGTATTAAATAGCACCGAGTTTCTATCGTTTGTTTTGCGTAGAAAGACCAGATATCGCGGTGTTACGTAATAATATGTTTGATTAGTCATCATTACCATTTTTCTCTTCTTCGAACCGCAACGAACGAGATCAACTTGGATTACAATTTTCTACTCGTTCTTCCATCGAATCTTCATCCGAAATGGTCTTGTAACAACGATATTCTATATGGATATAGAATATATTACAGGATTCTACCTTAAGTTAAAAGCCATAGTAAGAGTTTCGGTGTTTCTTTAGCGTCGTCCTACAACAGAAGGTCAAAGTCTCGCAAAGTCACTGAATCCTCCAAAGTAGTTGAACGACTCCGTTTAACCGGGATGGCACGGAGTACGAAAGTGATTTATATTCCCTTGGATGGCTATTCCTATACTCGCATGACAGGCTATACTGAAATGGATACCTTCTACGGTGTATTGAAAGAAAGAAAGATATGGACCCTATCAGTCATATATCAAACATACCCAATAGCCCCTATAGGAGCAACGGATGGTATAAGAAGCTATAAGAACCCTTACGATCTTTATAAACTAGCCATATTCAACTCTTTTCTGCCAAACAATAGAGCATGCGCAAAACATCTAGATTAACCATGATAGAGAGTGTCTACTGGAACGCTAAAGCCACATCTACTGCTACAACTTGTCACTTACAAACAAATCCCAAACATACCATGGCCAAGAACGTGTGTGAGAGAGAAAAGGTAAGCTTCAAAATAATGCAACACTTCATTAATTCCCTGCACTTCCAAGCCAGGCTTAAAGGGAATCTCCTCCTTCATGGCTATCCCTCCACGTTTAATCCCGGTATAGGAAGAAAGGCCCAAGGATATCAACAAAAGACATAGTTTGTGCAAACTATGAGCTTTGCCTATTCACAAACGCATTTATAACTATTGCAGGCAACAAAGAAGTTCTGCGTGTTACTGAAGTTATCTATTTATTTATATTTGTTCGAGTGACCCGCTATTCAATCTTCCATCTCACATTCCAATAACGTTAGATGTTTCTAATTAATACAACACAGTCCTATTATTCATTCAGGCCTATATTTTGCTAAAAACTCTCTAATTGAGCTAGATGGATATAAATATCACCTATATCCTCCACTGTACTCAGGACCTTCCCGGCTAGGAACCTCGTCTTCGTTGCCAGCTCCCTCTGCCATCCCTTGACCCTAGCCGACCAGTTACTATTTTTCCCCCCTCCAAGCATTCGCCTGAGGGAAGATATCCCCTCTTCCATCTCATTCTGAAGTTGTGGCCATACAATCTCTGTTATCTCAAATCGAACACCCGATCAGAGTACCCCTTTACAAAAATGGAGCCCGACATGAAATCCGCCAGCCGCGCATCTGGCCGCACAAGAAAACCCACTCTGAAAGCGAAGGAGGCCGAACTCAACAAAGTTACAAAGCCTATGACGAAAGCTAAACCTAGGAAAAAGGCCGTTAAGAAGGATACTCCGGCATCTAAGGGATCTATAAAACAAAGTCCAAAGCTAGAGCCACAGCCAGAGCCAAAGACAGAACCAAAGACAGATACTTCAAAGCTAGAAGACCCAAAACTAGAGAGCCCAGAGCTGGTCAAGCCGGATAATGGAAAAGAGACCAGTAAGTGTAGTTGTCAAAAACCAGCGAAGAGTTGGTCTGTTAGGCTGACATTGTCTTCTTATTTCAGTTGCACCACCCGCATTACCAACGATCCCGACCATCACCATTACTGATGAAACGGGTAAAACAACCGAGGTACCCCAAACACCACCCCGTTTGAGCAAAGAAGACGAAATGGCAGTCACCATACTGCTAGAGATGGCAGCGGCAGCGTTGGCGCCAGACTTCACCCCAGAGGTCGAGGTCGACCTGGTAGATCATAGCCGCCAGTTCTACTCCCAATTTCCAACAGCAGTGGAGGCTGAGACGATGGGTCGGCTGGCCGACTCGTCTGAGCTCGCCTACCCAGACCTCCGTCGTCCGTACACAGATAAGGGTGGGTGGACGCATACTGGCCGTGTCAATCAGCATGGTGAAGAGTATATCATCATGCCACTGTCTTTCACCAGATGGTCGCCCGCCGAAACCGTCGACCCTTCGACAGCCACCGACGCTCCAGTTCTGCAGCCAAGCGAGGCGTGATGGATGGCCCTGTTACCTCGCCTTCTCCGCTCGATGCTTGTGCCCTGTTGCTGGCAACAGGTGCAAACGATATTCCTAGAAACCCTCTTAACAGGTGCTTGAAAACTCCTACTCTTATATGTCTTTCAAGTTGTGAGAGGAGCATCGTAAGACCCTTGTGTTTTGTTGAAATAATGTAGACAGGACCTTGCATATATTAATATAGAACAAATACTGTGGTCAATTGAGGTATACACATTGAATGCTCGGACTGATTACCGACCTCTTTATATCTCTTCTATGACGTCTGTGGTACATGCAACTAAATAGTAGCCAAGCTTGAATATCGATTACTAAGGCGCACCTCACCAAAGTCAACACCAACCCAAAACATCACCAATTTTCATCATTCAGATACATAACCGATTACATATAGCAAAAGGAAGGTGCCTCATTCGGCATTCTCTTCAAAAAATAATTACATCGTCACCAAAGTCAACGAGATTCGAAGCCATCACCACCTAAAAACGACCGATCCTCCTCGAAATCGAACCGCAATTGACAAGCGCTGAAAATACCGGCAGCAATAAAGCAGACACAAGGAATAAAAGGAATTAAGCTATATACCAGATACCAGATATTACGAGAGTCAACACGAAGCTAGGCAGACCTCTGGTTGTCAAGTTGTGGACGACGCATTATACACCACCTCTTCTAGTCGAGAACCTCCTCCATGTCATCTGGCAAAAAGAGAACACCAGCTTCTGAGCTAGCAAAAGCCATAAGCCAGTCAAAACAAACCTCCAATGCCAATCTCCCACCCCCAAAGTCCCGTATTGTTCGGACTCAGCAGGAACTAGGACGGATGGGCGGGCGTGGAGGTTCAAGGCAGCCAGATATAAAGCAAACGAAGCAGTACAAATCTGCTGCGCGAAGGTGAGCTGTTACATTCCAGCGAAAATCAGTCAATTCCCAGTACTATCAAATCTGCGACTAACTTACATTCTTGTTTCATTAGATGGAGCGCGACAATAGTTGCGCTACCTATCCTATTATACACAAGCTATGCTCTATTTCAACGAGGTAAATAATATTTCATACATGCGGGTTGGAGTTTTTTCCTTATAAAAAAGCTTTAAACTAACTGCAATTGGACTACAGTCTTTATTGGAAAATCACCCAAAGGCCTACCCGGAGTGAACGAATTCAGCCCGCAAGCTGGATATTCTACGATTGAGAACCCCAGAAAATCCAATGACTGAGTAACCCCTTCCCTTTCACCAGACCGGCCCTTACCAATACAGTCATAAGATTTGTAACATACACGACTAACGCCATCTCAACTCAATTTCCAACCTCCCTTGAGTATCTGACTCGCTACATTAGAGTCTATGAAGCAGCTGTGCATTCACTTAAACGTCCCCCGTGAAGTGCCCACTTCCACCAGATGGGCAAATCGATGGCTCTCCATTGTTTCCCGGGTAGCTCCAGCAGCTCTTTTCATAGTATTCGGGCAATATTTACTGAGGAGGGCCCCCAAACATCTATGTATCCTGCTTATTGGGTGAAGTATATACTTGATTTTAGAGTCCTAGTAGATACCGTATCGCGTTGTTTTCTAGACAAATTTTGAACTGAATATAACGTATTATCAAGGTCCAGCTGTATATACCATATTCCCTTTTCTCAATCATCCAAACCCCCTATTCAAAATGACCATAGAGCCGACGTTTCGTTATATCACGTGATGCTCGTATATTTGCAACCTGCGACTCCTGCTGAAGACGCCGTTTGGTTATGATATTATCCAGAACCCCGTTATTTTTCTTGTTTTTCTTCTTCCATAGCTCTTACTTGGCCTTATATTGACTTATTTTTCTGTTTCATTTACCTTTTTTTCCCTCTACATTCACAATGCCTAGTTCTGCAGAGAAAGCAGAAAACCCCATGGTATCAGAGAATCCCAGAAAACGCCGTAATAGCACAGTTCGAGCTGTAAAAGAGACAGTGGCATCGACTCGCCCAAAGCGCGTAGCAACGTCTTTAAAGGCAGCCATTGCAAATGATGCTGTCGCTGCTGCTAAAAAGCGTCCAAAGAGCACAAGACTAAAGCTTGATGCAATCAAAGCGAGTCGAGGTTCGTCTATTAAATACTATTAATACCCATTGTTGGCAACTTGATTTTTTTCATTTCTTCCGAATTCATCGTTCCGGCTTGTTATTAGGTGCTTCTGAGTTTTTATCGGTGGTACCCAGGCTGTAATACAGAGTATTCTATATAATAGCTCAATATACTAATGAGATTTGCAATAGCTGACGAAAGCTCGAAGGAAGCCTCTGAATCTGTTCCTAGAGATAAGAAAGGTCGACCTGGCAAAAAGTCAAATATCAGAGCTACCGTGGACGAAGCGGAGGCTATGATTACAGCTACCACGGATGCAGAGCCCAAGGGTTCTAGCAATGCGAATGAATCTAAGGGTGATAGATCATATTGGCTTATGAAAGCCGAGCCAGAGACAAGACTTGAAAAGGGTGTAGACGTCAAGTTTTCGATTGATGACTTGCGGGCTGCTACTGAACCGGAAGGATGGGATGGTACATAAAATATTCTTTATATTATACTTGATCTTAGGCTAATGATATGGACCCAGGTGTCAGGAATGCAGCCGGTAAGCGGATTCACAGCGTTACAATGGAGCTTGCTTCTTGCTAACCGGCCACTATAGCAAGAAACCATATGCGCGCAATGAAGAAGGGAGACCTCGCCTTTTTCTATCATTCCAACTGCAAGGTTCCAGGAATTGCAGGCACGATGGAAATCGTTCGAGAGAGCTCAGTTGACGGTATTGCCACCAACCCTTGTATTAATGAAGTGTTGAGGTTTTGGCTAATGTGCATGATATAGAATCCGCCTTTGATCCTGCCCACCCATATTATGATCCAAAATCAAACCGTGATAACCCAAAGTGGGATTGGGTCCATGTTCAGTTTCGAAGCAAGTTCAAAAATTTGATAACACTGGCAGATATCAAATCACACGCAAAGCCAGGCTGTGCGCTGGAGAATCTGCAGATGGTCAAACAATCACGCCTGAGCGTTTCACCCGTTACAGCAGAACAGTGGAAGTTTCTTATGAGTCTGGCAGAGGAGGAACAGCCTGTGAAAGGATGAATGATTGTACCCGTTCCCTCCTCGTGTTTCGTTTGTGTTCTTCTTTTTCATCTGCTTTTCTTTGCGG